TTCAGCCAGTGGGCCAACAACAAAGAGCCTTTGAAGGAGCGATATAGAGCCCACTTCTCATTTCCCCCAGTCCTTTGTCATGGTCATAACATGCTATGGCTTTTCATACCTGCCAAATACTCTTACTGAGGCAGAAGAGATCACTGCTTATACTACAAACGGCTTTTAGAGATATGAGAGTAATCAGGGTCCTCTCAGAGTTTAACAACAAGGTGAAAAAAAAAATGCAGAATTTTTCTGGCCCTCTCTCTGAAGGTGCAGAAAAGAGCCTAAGACAGAGTTTGTCTCTAAGACGCAAGGACTCCTTTTTTGGATCATTAGAATGTCAGGGCAGGGAATGATTATAAGAGATAAGGGGAGCCAGATTTGGGTTTTGACATGATGAGTATGCCCATCAGAAATCCAAGCACCATTGTAGAAATGACCCATAGCATTTTATTTTTTATACCCTGAAGTGGGACCAATGGAATTATGGGTATATTCAAAGATGATAGCTAGGTGGGTCAGACACACATATAAGAGTCATTGGTAGCACGTGGGTAACATAAGGTAAGACACTGACTCTGACCCCTTTCTTATTTAAGGGGGAAGGAGTTGGAATGGATTAAGGCATTCGATACCTGCCACACGCTGGACACAGTGACAGGGATCAAGTGGACTTATTTAATTGAAAGAGATTTTGTTGGAACTAAAATCATGGCCCTTCTGAGGAACCACCCAGTCCTTCTATCTCCTGCTCAGTTAGGCCTACTCAGAAAACCACTACTGAGCAACAACCACACTCAGGACGCTGTTTTATTGCTGGGGAACACTCAGATAAAAACCAGTCCCTGCCCTAATGTAGGTAAATGAGAAACTGAGAATGTGGCTGGGGAAATATCCCATGGAGCTCTGTCTCTGGAGAATGCTGGATATTAGAGGAAAGCCCCTAGGGTGGTTGCTTCACTGTGCTATGAAACCAAATTTTCCCCGCTTTCAGCGGGTTGACATTTCCTAGACAAGAGAAGCCTCTGCACAGCATAGTTTTTGAATGGAAGTAGAGGCCAGAAACCCCTCATCTGTGTTTCGAGAATTCTAGGTGCCAGCAGCCACGTTAAAGAGAAGGAAAAGGGAAAGCCAGGGCTAACATTAGTTCTGAAAAGTAGCTCCCGCAGGAATGGGTATGGCTGAGACAGTCCATTTGAGGGGCATCTGAGAGTCTCTAAATGACCCATCTCTCCTGGGCCAATATGCAAGCAGTGGGAAAGGCTGCTGTGTAGACCCTTCCTAAAGCACACTTTGGCCCTTCAAGGTCATCACAGCTCTTCTGTCTTCATACCAGGTGGCCTTCCCTCACCTGGCCACTTGATGAAGGGAGTATCTCTCCTGTTCTTTAAAGAGATTTTCCCACCTCACAGATCCTGATTCAGAAAATGCATCTTTTCTCCCTTTGTCTCTTTCTAAAGGTGCAGGTCAGTCCCTCCTGAGGGAGAGAGGGAAGAGAAGGGATCCACTAACTTACCACAGATTTTCTCCCCACCTCCATTCCCTGTCTTTCAGGGGAAACTGAGTTGCTCAAACCCAGCTCATTCAATTAATTGACTGAGCGGTGCTTTTCACAAGTTTTCTGGGACTGTGAACTGTTTAAGGGAACCTTCGAAAGGGATCCAGGGGTAGGCAGCCCAAAGTTTCACAGCCCCTCCCACCCCCAAATTCTTGGAATCAGAAAATCTAGTCTCCAAAGTAGGTCAGCACGTCAGTGAGCAGCTCCTCTGTAAGGGAAGGGAGCAGAGGCCTTGTCTTGATAGAAGGCGGATTCATCCAGGGCTGTCGGCCACCCAGGCCCCAGGGGCACAGGAGGGAGGGGAGTGGAGGTGGGGAGAAGATACCAGGATTTTGCCTGGGATCTGAAAAGCCTCAGGGCCACAGAGCAACACTAGCCTGAGACCAGACTGCTGGGCCTTCTCGCTGCTGGGAAGGAGGGGGCTGTCAGTCCCCAGATCTAAAGAGCAACCTCCCTCCTGGAGGAGGAGGGAAAGGAGGGAATCTGAGTGCCTGAGTTTAGTGGGGGGAGGGGCTTTCTGACGATCTGAGAGCCTTGAAGCTGCCCCATGTCCTGGGCCCCATGACCTCTGGGGCCTTGGCTTCCCCAGCTGGCAGAGGATTGGGCCTTCCCTGGGGGCCCCCCTTTCTCCCTCCCACCCTGAGGGCCCATCCATCTCTCTCTCTCTCTCTCTTGCACACACTCTTGCCTCTCTCAGGCATTTGTTGTGCAGTTCCTCTTTGTCTGCTGGGCACGAGGGCAACGGCATCTGCCTCCCCCTCCCTGTGCACACCCCCCACCCCCACCCCTTTACTGGCTTGGGAAAGGGATGCTGTAGCCTAG